TCAGAGCCGCGACACGCGCGCGCACCCCACGGCCGCGCGCACCCGCCACCTCCCTCCCAGCCCCACGCGCTCTCCGTCTATTTTTTCCTCTTCCTCTCATCCTCACTCTGAAATAGGTCAGGGGTGGAAGTTACGCCGGGTGCAGCCCCGGTTCGGATGCAAAGGCAGCTTCCCCCAACCCTGGCTTCGGGACAGCGGCGTAACTACTCGGCTCCGTAGAGCTTCCCGCCCCACACCGCGCGGACAGCGCCGGCGACCTGGCGCTGACAATGGTCAGCCTTGGGGAGCGGCGTGAAGCCTCCTCCCCGCCCTAGATCCGCCGCCTCTCGGCCTCCGACAGGAACGGGGGGGCGCGACCGGTCACCTCGAGCCTGCCCTGGCACCTGCGCCTGGGTCCGACCGCCTGGGTGAGTTTCTGCTACACCTCTGCCGTCCCGGTGGCGCAGGGGGACTTGTTTACCTTGCAAACTTAGGATGCAAACAGGCGAGGCTGCCGCGGGATGTGCTTCAGACGCGAGACCCGACAAATCAGAACTCAGAGCCGAAGGGTTTAAGGTCTTGAAGGTGAACAGGAATCTGTATTTTCGTGGAGGGCACGTGTATCTTTTCCTTTGGCTTTAGAATTGATTTAACTAGTAGGAGAAAAACTAATAACGTGAAGCCAGAAAGTTTTCAAAGCTGGTGGTGAAAATAAATACAAGAAAGAATGCCTAAATAGGAAAGCGGGATTTGTATACTATTACTTGCTGTGCGTGATGTCTTTTTATGTTATATGGGTTCTTTGTGATATATTGATGTGAGCATAAAACGCTTCGTGTAGAAAGGCGCGAAGGCTGCAAACATTTTGCAAAGCTTTAAATTTGTCGGTATGCATGAATTTAAAGGTAGTTGCAAAATTTTCTGTGGATAAAGAGCTAAAATATTATCTGTACCATTTTGATGTCCAGTTTATTGGCAATACTCCAGGTAACCCTGGACATTGAACCCCGGTTTCTGCAGCTGAGAGTACTGTCATACACCTTTCTGGCTAGTGAACGGATAATTTGTTTCGAAATGTGGGGAAGAGAGGGGTTGTTTTCCTGTCCTTTATGCCTGGATGTGGGATGCAGTCGTCCAAGAACTTCCCAGACCCAGTGAGTGGTGCCTTAGAGTTGCTCACAGCCACATCTCTGAGAAGAATGGAAACCCACCCCCTGATGGCCGTTGATGGCATGTCACTTATGTAAAGCAGGCCTTGGAAAGTTGAAAGTGTCTTGTCACTACAGAAGCTGCTCCACAGAATTGCTGCTTTATTAGTGCATTTGGTCAGATTTGAAAAGAGAACTCTCCGTAGGCTCTTTCCCTAATTCAAAAGAAATTCTATTTCTAGAAAGATTCAATTACTCTAATGAGGTTCTCTGGAAATTTTTCCTGTTTTGCGCATATCTGAATATGGCAAAAGCTCCAAGGTAGTTCAAAGGTTTTAATAAAATTTTAGTTAACCAGAGAGAATTGTGGAATTGAAAACGCTTTGCATAGTTAACTCTGCCTTACATTGGCAGTGCAGGGTGAGATTTATTATTCCCCATAAATCTTAAGTCTCTGTTTATGTGTGTCTTTTAAAGCCAGATCTTACTTAGGATTAGGAGGGCTTTAACGTCGAGGTATAAACCAGATAGATATTGTAGTATTTCTAATAGGTGGATGTGTAAATGCGTTTCACTTGTAAAGACTTTACATGCTTCTTTAGAGAACTAGTTTGCAAAATTTGAAACCCATTGTGAAGAGGCTCTGTCATTGCCTTGAAGAAGGCGGGAGCCAGGTGCCTGGCCTGGTGATACACAGACTCATACTGTTCAGAAATAAATGCAGCTGCGTGTCAATGTTCTGATTAATATTTTTACACAGGGAGTGAGCGAAAGCTCTCAGTGCATTTTAGCTGCTGGTATAATCCATTCTTGAAATTAGGCTGTCAGCACTTGTCTGTGCAATCTTGTGTCTTCACTCATAAATGAATGAGGAAATGTTCTGAAAAGAGAGGCGTGAAAGTATTAGGGTAACTGAGAATGTATTTAAGGGCAGATTGAACGTGATGCTAAGTGGCTGGTTAAATAGCCTTCAGCTTTTGTGATTCTCTTCTTTGCAGAAGAGAAACATTGCATAGAACTCCTGGCTAAGAAGTCTGCAAAAGGAGCTAACATCGTTTGCTCTGGGTACTTACTTCTCATCCAGAGAAAGGTCTAACCCAGGTGTCCTCAAACTACGGCCTGCGGGCCACATGTATCCGGCCTACCGGGTGTTTTTGCCGCTGCTGCCTGTCCTCCAGCAGTCTGAGGGATAGTCTGGCCCTCCAGCCCTCCGAGGAACAGTGAACTTGGCCCCCTGTTTAAAAAGTTTAAGGACCCTTAGACCCACTCAAGGCAGGCATTTGCAAAGGTTGAGGGAAGCTCAGCTTTGAGCCCTCCCCTTTCTGGGAAATGGGGCTAATGATACTTCTCAAGGTGGAGAAAAAATGAGATAATCAGTATAAAATGCTGTATAAACTATCAGGACATTGAGAGCAGTCATATAGGGGGTCTATAACCAGAAGGCGAAATATGTTGA